TGATGATAGTAGGTATCCTGTCTCATTCTCATTCCAAAATTCAACATGAAAGCTGTCAATGATTTTATTGCTAAGTACAGCACAATAAAAACTGTAGACTTTTTAAGACACATGCAGTAAATGACACTATTTCTAACTTGTATGAGTTTTTAATTAAACAAAGATGTTAAATTTTATCAATTTTCTGTATCTATTGAGATGACTATATGATTTATCTCCCTATTCAGTTAAAGTGGAAAATTATATTGGCTGGCTTTCATACAATGAGTCAACTTTACAATTCTGCAATGGACAAGACGATCAAAGGAATCAATATTCCTAAGTGAGATTAAACTACAACATTCTTTTCTTTGAATGTTTTTACTTGATTTTGGTATTAAGGCTTTCCCAACTTCTTCCAACAAGCTGGCGGGAATCTTTCCTCTTTATTCTATGGGGAAGGATTTTTAAAATATTGCTTTAAAAAAATATTTTGTGGAAATCAAAAGTGACCTTAAGTAATCCCAATATCATCTTTGTATTAAATTGTCTAGTTACTTTTATAGTTAAAAGAAAATATTGAGATTTTTCTATTTCTTCTTATGATAAAGGTAGTCAGTTTTTTTTCTCCTAGGTATTTGCCCACTTAAAAATCTTCAAATTTGCTTAAAGATTGTCAGCCATATTCTCCAATAATGAACATAGTGTCTATGGGATAAGCAGTGATTTTCATTTATTCCTTTAAAATACTAATTATTTATGACTTCTTTTTAAATCTTCTCTTAAGGAATTACTAATTTTATTGGTATTTTCAAAGAACTAACTTCTTCTCTTCTTTACTCTATGCTTCATTTTGGAGTCTTCTTTTTCTGTCTTTAATGGTCTTTACTTTTGTGGTATCTAATATGCTGTCAATTCCACTTTACTTTGCATGGAGACATACCTAGCATGGAACAGCTAACTTATAAATGGCAGGCATTAGCTTTTCGTATTTCCATTAGCAAAGATGAGAATGCCAGGTACTATAACACTAGCTACTTTTTTAGTTCAGATACTGTACTTTTCCCCCTGAAGAATGTCATTTGAGTCTTTTAAAAACAACATCATTACTTACATATAATTCACATTAATCTCACCCTTTTAAAAGTAGTTTTATGTGTATTCAAAGTTGTGTAAACCATGACCACTAAATCCAGAACATTTTACCACTCTAAAAAAGAAACCCTATACCATTAGAAGTCAGTCTCCATTCCCAAGCTCCAAGTTCTAGCAACCAATTTATACTGTTTTTGTGGATTTGCCTATTCCAGGCATTTCAAGTGAATGGAGCATGAAACTTTCTGATGTCCGTGTCATTCCACAATGGTAAGCTTCCCTCCTTTTGTCCATATCATATATAGGCAACACATACAAAAACAGAGACTACTCAGGCAATCACAACAGGGAGTTAGAGATGTACCAAATAATAAGAGCTGAAATCGTATTGATGGAGGAAGGAATACAGGGAAGGCATCACAGGACTAAGTCACACAAAGGGATGGGTAGAAAGGGCTAGTGCAGCAACTGACACAGCCATAAAATCAAAGTCCTCAAGTGCCAAAGCACAGTGCATGTATGTTTTCAGGAGGTCTCAGCAAGTAAGATACTGTTGGGAGCTGTTTCTGAAGCTCAGACCCAAAAGTTAAAAGATAAGGACAAGGAATATCCTGTCCTTTCAACTTCTATTCAAAGTCAACAAACCTAGGCTCACAAGGACTAAGCCCCTCCCAGACAGAAGCTGTCTATATCAGGGCCATCTCTCCACCAGCATGGGCAGCTTGTTCCACTGCCCACCTGTGACCATGCTGGGACTTGTATGCACTGACCTCCCCTAGCAGAGGCCACTCTTCTAAGAACTCCTCCTGCAACCATGCAGGACTCTCTCTCTCTGCAAATCTGTCCCTTTTGGGCCAGCTCTTTCTGCCCACTTGTGCCTATGCAAGTGTTTTTTCCTCTCTTGTCTCTTTGTAATAAACTCACTCTTTAAATATAACTGAGGAGCCCTCCATGGTGGTACAGCAGGTTAAAGCACAGTACCAAGAAGCTAAAGCCACTTCCGCATGAGTTCGATCACCGCCTGCCCTGGAGGTGACCCACATGGCGAGAGACCTCTCCTGACCTGTCCGCTGCTCCCCTCAGCAGTGTACTTTCGTAGATCTGCATGTTCTGCTCCCCACTCTTGTTTCTGGTGAATCCTCTCACCGCCCCCTGCACCTTTAGCCTGTAACCCAGTTCGTATGCATAAATAAATAAATCTTTAAAAAATATATATATAACTGGGTCTCTGTCTTATGGAGAATCTCACTATGTGCCGCTGAAAGGGGAGCTCTGGTGAAACCTTTCCCAGAATGAACCCCCGCTCCTTAAAACGACATCAGTATCATGGCATCACTCTGCCCCAAGGGAAGCTTCAATGCCCATGCAGAGATGACAGACCTGGACTGTCCATGACCAGATACTGCTGTCAAATTCTGGTAAGTTTTTGTGTACCTGGTAAATTGATGTGCCTTGCAAGTTAAAATAAATTCAGAAGATCTTTCTAACTGAAAAGTGAAATTATAAAACATGATTCCAAGAACCTGTCTCATCACTACCATCCTATTATATAGTTTTTGATTTTTTTTTTGAGAAGCAAGGTTAGTTTCTTTGTTGGCACAGAACTCTTATAAGCAAGAGAGCATGGGCTTGGCATCTAGTATGTACCTCGATCAGAACTCAACATTGCCAGAATCTAAATGTTACCTAATGTCTGTGTCACCTGCCTTAGTTCTTAGGTTCATTAAGGTAATTTTATTTTTTTTTAAGATTTATTTATTTATGCATACAGAACCAGGGTACAGGCCAGAGATGCAGAGGGTGAGAGGATTCACCAGAGACAGAGTGGGGAGCAGAACAGGCAGATGGACAAAGTACACTGCTAGGGGAGCAGTGGGCGGGTCAGGAGAGGTCTGCCTCGCCATGTGGATCTCCTCCAGGACAGGAGGGGACTGAACTCCTGCGGGAGTGGCTTAAGCTTCTTAGTGCTGTGCTTTAACCGGCTGTGCCACCAGGGAGGGCCATTAAGGTAATTTTTTTACCTTCCATTTTTCTCCTTATCATGTTCATGTTTTCCTTTATATTCTTAAGCATATTAGATATACTCAGTATAACATTAAAAGTCCTTATCTGCTTGTTTTGTCATCTCCATCAATTTGTATCTACTTCTGTTAGTTTTCTCTGTCTATAGCTTGTAAGCTCTGTCTTCTTCATAAGTAAATTTTTTTGGATACCAGAAATTTTAAACTGCTGAGTTTTAGGTTTTATTACAGTCCTTGAAAGAGTGGAATACTTTCATCCAGCAAGGTTACTCACAAATCAACTTCTAAAATTTGTTTAGCTCTTTTAAGTTGGATGTAGCTTTGGTCTAGGCTAATTAAAACCACATCTAAGTTATGGCCCTTCTTTTAAAAAAAATTGTTTATGCATATAAGAACTGGGGTACAGGCCAGAGCGGTGGGGAATGAGAAGATTCACCAGAGACAGAGTGGGGAACAGAACAGGCAGATCATACTGAAATACCCTGCTGAGGGAAGCAGTAGGTACGACAAGAGAGGTCTGTCACATCATGTGAGTCAGCTCCCTGGCCGAGGATCTAACTAGTGCTGCAGTGGCTGTGAGTAGTTTCATAGTGCTGTGCTTTTAACCTGTCTCCCCACAGGGAGGGTCCTTAGGTGTGGCCTTTTGAAAGTTTTTACTGAATGGACTATGTATATACAATGAGGCCATTCAGTCAGGTTGGTAGGAATCTGAATAACTCAATCCTGTGTGAGCTCTGGAAACTGAAAGTACCTCTCCCTTCATTTCCCTCCATTGTTCTTTCCTCAGTAGTTGTTTTCAGCTGGGTCCGGAGTATTAAACTTCATTTGTCACAATCACAGCAATTTAGATTTTGGCTTATAAGTGTAGCTTGATATTCAGAAACTCAGAGGAATTCTTAGGTACATCTAGACCCCTTTCTCTGTTTGATTCATTTTCCTTGGTTTCTCTACCACACAAATACTAGCAATTAATTTTATTTTTTAATCTACTATCTCTTAAGATCATTTATTTTACTTTTTCTCTTTTTCAGTTCTTTTCTAACTCCTTAAGATGGATACTCATTAATTTTGTGTCTTCATTTTTTCCTAACAAATGAAAATAAATTTTAAAATTTTCTCTAAGAATAATTTTAGTCACATGACAGGTTTTGATATTACGTTTTTATTGTCATTCAATTCAAGGTATTTTTAATTTCTATAGCAAGTTCTTCTTTCACATATGGATAGAGAAGTAACATCTCTTATAATGCTATCCATGCAAAGCTCAATACCTGCTAAAGAAGGCATATATTTTGTTTGTTCAAAATTTTTCAGGCTAGAATATGGTTAATGTTGGGGAGTCTAATAATATGCTTCGTAACCTGGGTACAGATTTCAAAAATATATTTACTTTGATAATCTTCCAGCTATACTTTTATGGTATATACTTACTTAAAAAAAAATAGTTTCCTTGCTATTTTTATACACTCATTCTTACATATGGAAAAATCATGTTTATCTATTTTCAAAAACAAAAACACTGATTTTCTAACTGAAATTTCATTATACATATACTCACCTTATATTTTTTCATAACTGCATTACTTTCAAAGTTAGCTGTTTCTTCCATAAATCGGCCAACTAGTAGCATAGCCCGACCATGAATTAACATGTTCTTACTCTCGGCAGGAGTTTTATTTTCAGGGAAACATAATTCAACACCTTTCTGAAGAACAATTAGTGCCTGATGAACATCACCCTAAAAGAAAAACCAGTGTTTAAGAATATATCTTTCTTTTCTGAAGAACCAATAAAGTTTTAATTTTATTAAATATTATATTATATTAAATATGTGTATGTGTATAAGAAATTTTTTTTTGGAATTTCATGTTCACCTCTCATTTCTGTCCTATGAATGTAAACCATAAAAGGAAACATGCTTCATTTCATGTAGAACACTTATATTTATTTATTAATACATTTACTTATTCATTTCCTAGTCATAAAAGTGAAGGGAATTAATGATACATGTAAATGTCTAGGGATAAAGAAAATGAATAAATAAAAAACTGGCTTAAAAAAGTGTACTGTTGGCCCTCCCTGGTGGCGCAGTGGGTTAAACCACAGCACTAAGAAGCTAAAGCCACTTCAGCATGAGTTCGATTCCTGCATGCCCTGGAGGTGACCACATGGCATAGCAGACCTCTTCTAACCTGTCCAGTGCTCCCTTCAGCAGTGTACTTCATTAGTTGGCCTGTTCTGCTCCCCACTCTGTCTCTGGTGAATCCTCTCACTGCCCCTGCACCTCTGAACTGTACCCCAGTTCTGTATGCATAAATAAATAAATCTTTTTTTAAAAATAGTGTATTGTCAAGTGAGGAAAAAGCTATGTCAAATAACAATACATGCATTAAGTACTATTAACAGAAGAACATACATGGGTAGTAAGCGAGGCTAGGGAAGGGAAACCCCTAAAATCACCTGAAGATAAAGGAAAAAGAGGAGAGCAACAATTAGGAAAAGTTACCAAAGAAGAAAATCTGAATTAGTTTTTAGGAATGAGTAGGAATTTTCTGTGCAGATAGTTCAGTGCAGGACATTTTTGGAACAAGGACTATTAGGTTTTATTGGGAGAAAAGCAATACTTACAGTTTAATCTAAAGTCTAAACTGCTGTGATGGTGACAAATGAAGCTAAAGAGGTAGACTGGAACTCATGCTTTCTAGGGTTCAAACTTAATACTAAAGTCATAAAAAATTGTATGAAGTATTTTAATCAGGTGTGCAACATGATTCAATGTGCATTTTGGAAAGAGAAATGGTGAGATGTAAAAAAAAAAAGTAATATAATTAGAGGCTATAAATGCTAACGGCATGAATTAAAGAAGCAGAAATAAGTAAAAGAATGAAAAATAAATTTCTAAAGTAGATTTAGCAGCCAAGTGTGGAAAGTGAGCGAGGGGAAGAAATTTAAGACAATGCTCAGATGTTGATCTTAGATGAAAGAAATTATGTTTAGAAAAACAGGAGGTGATGTAGGTATTCTGTAGTAAACATTGAATTACTTTGGCATACTGAATTTAAGCTGTTACTAGCTCAGAAATGATCAGGTACCAATAGTGCAGCCTAAATTATTTACTTTCAACCCCCAATTAAGAGTTTCCTTTCCAGGAAATATCTTTGTGTTCTTTCTCAGCACCACAATGTTGATGCAATTACATATAGTACCAGTTATAGTGGCAAAGTGTAAATTTCAGAACACAGTATGTTGAGTACTAATATTAGACTCATGACAAACATGAAGAAATATGTAACAGCCACTTAAATCTGGGATATAAACTGTGCCAGCTCCCTTTTCATGCTTACAGATCTAATCTGGGAATTGCTGGAAACATTTTGTTCTGCAGCTAAAACTGTTATGACAGGCTAGATTAGAAGTAAATTTTGACAACAATGGCAAGCCCACAAAGACATAATTATCTGCCAAGGACAGCAAGTAAGATCAAACATTATTTTCACTTAAAAATATTTTTTGAGTACATACTAAAGTACCCTATGTACATATAGAAAGGAAAAACAAAGTAAAAATAGATCTGCTTCCCTTAAAAAAAAATGAGAATAAAGAAAGAGAGAGAACTGTACTTTCCGTCTTGAAATAGTAAAATATTTGGGGACTTCAAGATCGCAGGAACAGTTTTATGGATGATACAGATAACTGATGAAAAAGGCAACAGAAAAAGTTGATTCTAAATTTGGATTAGGGATTGCTTCGGGCCTTTGTAGGTACGTCATCTACTAGAATATATATATGAGGCATGACACAGGTATCATATGACACATGACACATAACACCATACGGTACATGCCATATCACATGGTACATGACAGATGATACATAACATATTATCATCTGGATGATATATACAACATATATACATAAATACACACATACACACATACTATTCCTTTGATATTACCTTGGACCACAGCCACTTTGCCCTTTCCACATATAGTTCAGCAAGTCGTGATTCTCCAGCATTAAGGAGAGCATTGTAGGCTGTCTGGTGATGGCCAGCCTTTCTAGCTACTCTGGCACTCTGTAGCCAGCACTCTCCAACCATGTCACTGAAATCTGGTCTGAAAGAATGTGACAAAACAGGGATGCAAAAAAGTATTTTTAAGTGTGTTCAACAACTTAGTTAAAATATCTCTTGATTAGGGCCCTCCCTGGTGGCACAGTGGGTTAAAGCACAGCACTAAGAAGCTAAAGCCACTCCTGCATGAGTTTGATCCCCGCCCTGGAGGTGATCCACATGGCACAGCAGACCTCTCCAGACCCATCCGCTGCTCCCCTCAGCAGTGTACTTCAGTCTGCCTGTTTTGCTCCCCACTCTATCTCTGGTGAATCCTCTCACCACCCACATCACTGGCCTGTACCCCAGTTTTGTATGCATAAATAAATAAATCTTAAAAAAAAATCTCTTAATTAAAACATGGAGCCCTGTCGACATATTATTTTAAATAGTCAAGTAGATTTATTAAAAATCTAATTTCAATTTTTAAAATGTTCCATTTTTACCATTTACAAGTCTGTGGTGATCTTACTGACATAAATTTGTACCTCCCTCAGATATGTTTTAAATATTTAAAAATATACATAGTGCATGGGACCTCCCTGGTAGCACAATGGGTTAGGATGCAGCACTGCAAGCAAGTACAGTGGCTTCAGTGCAAGTTCGATCCCCGGCCCCAGAGGTGACCTACATGGCAAGGGAGACCTCTTCTGCCCACCTGCTGCTCCCCTCAGCAGTGTACTTAGTTGGTCTGGCTGTTCTGTGCCCCACTCTGTCTCTGGTGAAGCCTGTCACCACCCCTGCGCCTCTGGATTATATCCCAGTTTTGTATGCATAAATAAATAAAATCTTTAAAAAATATATATATATATACATAATGCATATGGAAGTAATTCTTAAGTTCTAGATTCACATCAACTAAATAGTGTAGCCCTGATAATTTAAAGATTCAGAGAGAAAATTATGGAAAAAAAAAAATCACTCCCAAATAATATGCAACATTAAATTTATGAAAAACCTTTTGTTGAGGCTTAATAAAGCTCTCCGGAGAGCCAGGATGGGTTCTTTGGCTCTGTAGGAATTCTGGGTCATTTCAAGTCGAGCCACCCAGTTGAGAGAGTCTTCTTGAGAATTTTCACCTGGAGATTGGTGAAAAAGTGGTCTGATACTGTGTTCCAATTCACACAACATGTGCAATCTGAAGATAAATAGAACCTGTTTAAAATGCTATCATAGTCAACCTTATTAAGTGTATATATAAAGCATGTACTATAAATTAACTATAAAGAATCTGAAATGTGCAGTTTTATTGAACGAGCTTTAATAAAAATGTATTTTTGGTATATAAACTGAAACATTTATATCTTTTCAAAACTGGGATTAATCACCAATTATCATTGAAATATTTAGTGCTTTATTTGATCCCCAAATTCTTATAAATTATATTGCAGGAGAGTGTGTAAAGCTAAATTAGAGTGTATGAAAATCAAACTTTACCACCTATTCAAAGACAAAATAAAATATGAATACATTATAAATCAACTTAAAAATTTATGTTTATTTCAGGTATTTTGTAAGAGGGCCCAGCATAGTAAATGCCAGTACAAAATTATGAAATCCACATAGTTTTTATTGTTTTCCCCCTAAGAATGATGGAAACACTCATGTTCACATTTATCCCATATATAAGCAGTCAGTGTCTATGACTCAGTACTCAAGAATGAACTGAATAGCTACAGAACAGAATTAATTTCAGTGCCCCAATCTCTGGTTCAGAGATACCAAAGAGATTGATACAAATTATAGTAAACTCTTGAAAATAAAAAACAAACAAAAAAAAAGGCTTGCTTATATTTTAAATTCATTATGGTCCCATCGCAACAATTGTTTTATTACTTTCTTCAGGTGAACTAGCAAATTTAAAATGTTTTCCATCATTTTTTCCCCTTCCTCCTAAAAGTTTTTAATGTCTATATTTTCTTGTTGTACATGGGTGAGGGGGTGAAGGCTGGCGATAGGGATGGGGAGTCAAATACATTTCTAAATGAAAAGAAAAAAAGGGTATCAGTAAGTACCAACAGGCACAGTAGCTGCCTAGGTTATTTAAGTTATATAGAAAATAAATCATGACATTGTAAAAAGACAAAAGATATTTTTGTTACATTTCAGAGGTTGCATAATTTCCATTACAATTACAAGACTATATATCAAAACTTTAAAAAGCAAAACAAAACAAAACAAAACAAACCCCAGAGTGGTTTTGAGGTAAAAGGAAAGAGCCATTTTGTGTCGTTAATGCATAATACTAAGCATACTATCAATTGCTTACTAATCAAAAAATTCCAAGCCTGTCAGATGACACAAATTAGGAAAATAAAAATGGAAACCCTCAAGTACCTAACAATATGTTCATATCCTCGTTGGTAAGAGCCTCTTTCAAAGCTTGCAGCTGAAAGAGGTACAATTTGTTCTGTTCTCACGAGTTTCAACGTGTCATAAAAAGCTGTGGTATCTCTTTTTTTGGCTGATAATAATAGCTGTCCCAGTCTGACACTCCATGTTGTAGATTTCCCATCTGAAAAACAAATGAAAAGTCATGGGATGTCATACTTGTTAAGGTCAAGAAAAAGCTTTATTTTGTTTGGAAAAATAAACAGCAGAAGTAGTGTACAAATGGTTTTCTTGTACTTTGAACAATCACAGAACAATCTAGGAGATTAATTAAGAATGTTACTTTGCTAATTAAGTCTGAATATTCATGTCATGCTAAAACTGCTTATACTTTAAGAAATAATTTTACCTGCTGCCAAATAGTTTTCCACCAAATCCCACTGTGACAATTTCCAAGCAGCTTCCACTCTGTATGTGTTTAATTCATCTGTCCATTCAGACCTATTAAAAGAAATGCTTATCAACTGGAATAAATTTACTTATTTAAAGTGAAATTTAGGAAAATTTTCCATTGGTTTAAACACCTCTTACTGCACTTTTTTTTTGTTCTATGCATTACATTTATATTTTATTTTGTATTAGATACAAAAAATAATTACCTCTACCTGAAACAAATCCCTAAATTATTTCCATTTCCAAAAAACATATTGTCTATAATTAATTCTGATGGAGCTATTTTAAATTGTCATTTTTTACAAATTAAATTGTGCAATACAGCAAAGCAAAATTAATGCTTCGATAATTACAACATTTAATTGTCAGAGAGGATGTATATTTAAGTTGAACAAAAGGCAGGAAGAGAAAAAAATAACTGAACATATATATTCAAGAGGTTAGTAGTTTTTAAAATAAAAACTGGTATTTTGAAATAAATTTAAGATATTAAAGAGCTTGGCAAGATGGTAACAGAGTGCAGACACCAGGCTTGACTCCACATATTTTTGATCAAATTATAACTAAACAAATATGATGACTCCTAATGACGAATGGCTAACTATTATATGCATCAAGAGTGATGGGAGAGTAGAAAAGGGCAGGGAAAAGAAGAGAACTATGTCGGAGAGACAGTGGGGCAGTACAACTCATGAAGGGAAGGGGAAACAGAATTTTTTTCTCTGTTGTTAACTCATGGGTATATGTCCACAATGGGGACTTTTAAAACCTGGAGACTATACTGCAGAAGGGGGTACAAAGAGCTAATGTGCAGGACAGAGGGTGTGCTGGGCCTCAGCACAAGTTTGCTGGGTTTTTGATGGCGGTAGATGAGAAAACAGGTCACGAAGACCATTATGTGGGGAGCAGGAACAAGTCTCCATTATGAGGCAGCAGGAGAGACATAGGTAGCAACAGTGGCAGTGATCAATAGCCGCAGCCAACCTGGGCTCTGGCCACAGCAGTGGTACAATGATCCATCAGTGGCCACTGAGAGACCAGCGAGTGCCATCCCTACTTCCGAGGTACCCTATTAGCTTTTATATGACTTAAAGACAAAGCTGGCAGAGGGCCAAGTTCGGCCCTCGTTTACAGATAGAGCTTATTTATTGCTTCTCACACATGTGGTCTACATCTCAAGGCTGCAAACTATCTACTAGGCCACTTGTGCTGGAAAGTCACAGCAAAAACTGTCTGAGAAACTCCAAGAAAACTTACTGTTTTCCCATAGGCCCTACAGAGTGCACCACTGGAGAATCATTGCAGTAAAAGGTATAGTGGTTGTTGGATTGAGTCTGTGTCTGCAAATTAAGGACAATTAAAGCCCAAACTTGCAAGGAGAGCCAAGTGGAGCACATGAATCCCCTTATAGGAAGGGCTATAATTTGCAGCTATGGCTGATAGGCAAAACATCTACCTTATACAACACAGGGCAAAGCTAACAACCAAATTTTGTCATTAACCAGACTTGAAGCACCCTGAAATAACAGGGTTAAGATTTCATACTCAAAGATGAACAACAATTTCTACCCACTTCAATTATAAACACTATCCTGTACTACATCTGTTGTTGAATCATAGTTAGCGATTGAAGCTGGCATGAGATTACTTGAGATGTTTTGGCTGAATAGCTGGTGTAGGGGAATTAGAAAATGTGTACCGCCCAAGAAAAAACTCAGTTACCTGTTGCTCTGAATGCAGCTTAACGCTTCTTACTGGAGGCAACCTTTCAGTGCCCTACTCTGGTTCTGACCATTCCCTTATCAGGACTAGTGTCTCAGTCATCTGAACAGGCAAAAAGGCACTGGTTTACGAAATAAAAGACACCTAACAATCTTGGGTAAAATCCTAGGATTATACCAAGCTACTAAAAGGCAGAATATACAATTCATCAAGAAAAGGAAGGTCCATATTACAATTCACAAAAACTAAGAATGGATAGAACACAGCACAAAAATTCTCAAAGTCTCAGTCAAGCAGAGCTAAGAATCTTCAGGATGAGGAATTTAAGTTAGCAGTTGCAACCAAGCTTGTTGGGTCAAAAAAAAAAAAAGTGATCAAAAACAGAACACAATAAAGATAGAGAAAATGATACCACAAACAGAATTAATAGATCTAAAATATAGTGTAACTGAATTTAAAAATACCATAGAGGACTCAGTAACAGACAAATGTAAGTAATGAAGAGAATCAGTGAAAACACAGACAGAAGAACAAAGAGAATAAAAATAAACAAAATGTGGAAGAGATCTCTTGAAATAACCTAAAGAATCTAGAAAACTATCCTGCTAGACAAACTTCCAATGCAATAGTAAGGATAAGAAGATTCACTGAATGAAAATAAAAATGAAAAGAATATATTAACACTAAGTTGAACTTGAAAGAAATACTATAGCAGTTACTATAAAGCAACAACAAAGTAAAGTAGGGGAACAAGACACCTAAACTATACAACATAAAGAGGAAAGTAAAAGTATGGCCCATTAGAAAAAATCTGAATCAAACCAACAGGCTACAAGTATAGATGATCAAACAACCCTCAGTATAAAGTTCAAACAGAAATCAACAACACATAAACAATAAATATTGAAACTAGACAAAACATGACAAAAAATTAAAAGACAAACACAAAAATAAAAGACAATAAGCACCAGTGTGTCAATGATCATCTTAAGTGCAAATGAATTTCAAAACAAAGTCTAACTTCCTGTTTGCATAAAACCCATTTTATCACTTAAGACAAACACAGACATACTGTAAGGTAATCCTACGAGCAAATAACCATCAAAAAGTCAAGAATGGTGACATTTTTATTACATTAAACAGATTTCCAATTTACAAAGGTAGTAAGTAGAGATAGAATAGTATATTATAATTATCAGCCTAATACAAAAAGAAATAACAATTATAAATTACATATATAATTTATATATAATATGCATATTTATATAAATATAAATGCTATATATAATAACAGTTATAAATTATATGTATATAATTTTTATATAATATATATTTATATATAAATATAAATATATGCTATATATATTAAATATATATTTATATTATAAATATGAATATATATTATAAATATGTATTGATCAACACACTAGCAAGGATGTAAAATACTGGTACTTTGATAATAAAACAAATAAAAAAGCCCTCACGCATATGTCAATATATTATTTATGATAAAGAAGGTATTGCCATACTTTCTCCAGAATGGACCACATACTGAGTCAAACAGTAAGTATCAACAAATTCATGAACAAAATTATACCAAGCATCTTTTCTGATCATAAAGATACCAAACTAGAACTCAGCTACAAAAAACAAGCAGTAAAAGTCTCCAACATATGGAGATTAAACAGACCACTAATAAGAGACTACTAGGTTAACAAGGAAATCAAAGTAGAAATCAAAAATGCCTCAAGATAAACAACAATGAGGACCTTCCACAACTTGTGGGACACAGCAAAGGTGGTACTAAGAGGAATTTATATAGCAATACAGATTCACATCAAGAAATAAGTACTCAAAGAAATTATCTTATCTCCCACCTGGCAGAATTGGAGAAAAGGGGTAAAAAAATTCAACAAAAAAGCCAGTAAAGAAAACACAAAAACTTAACAAAAATAAATGACATGGATATCAAAGCGGCAGACCAAAAAAATTAATGAACAAAAAGTTGGTTTGAAAAAAAAAAAAAAAACCAAAAAAGAAACAGACAAAAGCCTCTACCTAGGATCACAAAGAAAATAAATGAGAAAATTCACAAGATCAGAAACAAAAAAAATTAAAGCAGGCACTGTAGAAATTCAGAGAATATGAAACTGCTATGAACATCTATACACCATTAAGTATAAGAACCGAGAAGAGACAGATAGATTCTTAAGAGTTATATGGCCATCTGTGACTGAATAGGGAAGAAACAGAGAACTTAAATAGACCAATAACAACAAAGGAAATCAAAGCTCTCTCCAAATACAAAAGTCCAGGACCATATAGCATTATAAGTAAGTTGCACCAAACCTTCCAGGATGAGCTAATACCCTTCCTGCAGCATGGTGATAACACCTGAAGGGGGCTAGGGATGGTCCTATACTCTCCAAACACAGATAGTGATATAAATCAGCATTACCTTGACAAAAAAAAAAAAAGATTAAAAAAAATAAAAAGATTTAAAAAATGACTAACGAGTCAGGGAAGGACCCCTAGTGCTGGAAAAATTGTGTGTCCACAGGGAGAAACAAATCAAGACAACAATGAAATATGATGTCAGCACTGTGAGAATGGCCTATTAAAAGACCGGAAACAAGAAGTACTAATGAGGAGGTAGAGAAAAGGAAACCTTTCTCCTGTTGGTAGAAAGTCCAGCCCTTAGCATAAGCAGTATGGAGATTTCTCAAAAGATTAAAGGTGGATCTGCCATATATATCCATAATTCTCCTCCTAGACACCTACCTGAAATAATTTAAAACAGTAATTCAAAAGGAAACCAAACATTTAAAACACCAATTCAAAGTTACTGCAACACTATTTACAATAGCTAAGTATTGTAATGTAAGTGCCCCAAAACAGATGACTGGTTCAAGAAGAAATGTTATATATACACAATGGAATATTACTCGGTGATGAAAAAAGATAAGCTCACGTCATTTGTGGCAATGTGAATGTAAATGGGAGTGATTATGCTAAGACAAATAAGTCAGCAAACAGTAAAAAAAGTAAACAAATAAGTCAGCAAACAGTAAAAAAAGTAAACAGCAGTAAAAAAGTATGTCACTCATATGTAGGATACAGAGAAACCAAACAAAAGGTCAGATAAAGATAAGCTTAAAAACTAACCTCTGAAAGCTGACAACAGAAATAAAGTATCCAAAGTAGGAAGACTATGGGAAAAGGATGAGAACAGAGGGGAAGGAGTCCAATTAACTGTGGTGGAGACTGGGTGATTTGATGGTGGGTACACTATGGTAACTATATGTGAAGTGAGAATTCCTATACCTCTCATATACCACCATTAATGTAAACCAATGTTACAGCAATATTAAAGAATAAAATTTGGATTTGTAAAACCAGTATGACAGGTTAGTATTTTTTCTAAGCATTTTACTTATATAACACTAAGATGGTTAATGATATTCCACATCATGATTACATAAGAGACTCTCCCCACATTTCTTCTTTATGAATTATATCATTTGAGTATCTGCTATGTGCTAGACCTTGCATTAGGCACATTTTCCATTTAATTTTCTCATAATGCTAAAAGACACATAACCTTCTACTATAAATCACAGACTGGGATCAATGCCCTTAACAATTCTCCTTGCTCCTTCTGTAGTAATGTCATATAAATAGAATATAACAAGTGAATCCATTTTTTATTTTTTAAAAAATCTAAACTAGCAGCAAAACTACTGAATATTCTCTAAATTATAAAAATATGAACACAACCAAAACCAATTTAGAATAAGACTAAAAGGAATACAATAGAAATGTCATTTTCAACAGTTCAGCTTCGAACAACTTTGCAAGCTATTAGTAAACACAAAAAAATCAAAATTTTAAGATATATAT